AGAAAGAAATGATTTAATACTAACCACTGATAACTCACTCAACCCAGCAGGTTTCTTAAGAGGGTATCCAAACCTAAAAAGAGATCACACATGTTTAGAGTTAATTAACTACCACACAAAAGTCAGACCAGATTTAGGAAACACCCCTTTCAAAACGGGGTGGCATTTATTTATAGATGGCTCCTCCCAGGTAATTCAGGGGAAAAGACATAATGGATATTCAATAATAGATTGAGAAGCTTTAGTAGAAATAGGGTCAGGAAGACTGGCTCATAATTGGTCTGCCCAAATTTGTGAACTGTTTGCATTAAGCCAGGCTTTAAAATGCTTGCAAAACCAGGAAGGGACAATTTATACCGATTCTAAGTATACCTTTGAGGTAGCTTATACCTTTGAGAAGATTTGGACTGAACAAGGTCTTATTAACAGCAAAGGCCAAGATCTCATCCGCAAAGAGTTAATCACCGAAGTGTTAAATACTCTCTAGTTACCCAAAGAGAGAGCGATTTTCCATGTTCCAGGACACCAAAAAGGCTTTTCCTTTGAAAGTCAGAAAAATAACCTTGCAGATCAGGTAGCCAAACAGGCTGTATTTCCTCTGAAGCGCTTGTTTTTCATTTAACTCCTTGTCTTCCTCCCCTGTGGCTTCTGTGTTCCTGGGTAAGTACCCCTAAAGCCACCCCATTATTAACGTTAACAAAAAGGTGGAACGGTTTTTCTAGGGATGGTAAGGCTAGAACAGGGGCAGTTTTAAGCATATGTTTTAATTCTTCAATTTGATGAATTTCTTCAGGAGTCCACAGAATATGATCAGGTTTCCACTGGGTAAATTTTCTGTATAGAAGTTTAGTTTTTAGAGCATATGAGTGAATCCATAAGCGGCAATATCCAACTAATCTTAAAAATTTTCTGCTTCTGCTTAGTTTGAAGCAAAGGTAAGGATCTGATTCCTTCTACTTGTTCGGGTCCCATCCTTCATTTGCCTTTACTTATTAAGTGTCCTTACTATGTAACTTCAAGCTCTACAAACTTGAGTTTTCCTTTTGAAACTCATAATCCTTCCCCTTGTAAATGGTTAAGAAGGTGTGTAGAGAAGGCAGCTACTTTCTCTGCATTTTCACCAGATATAAGAAGATCATCTACATATTGGAGAAGACATATTTGTTTTGGGGTATGAATTTATTCTGAAACCTCTTCTAAAATTTGGTCAAAAAGGTTAGGGGAATCTGTGAACCCTTGGGGCAAAACTGTCCATCACTACTGTTGTTTCTATCCAGAATAAGGATCTTCCCATTCGAAAGCAAATATGTGCCAACTGTCCTCAGCCAAGGGACAGGCCCAAAAGGCAGCTTTTAAGTCTGTGACTGTAAACCATTGATGGTCACAGGGGATTTTGCTGAGGATGGTGTAAGGGTTAGGGACAACAGGATAAGTAGTTTGGACTAACTGGTTGATAGCTACGAGGTCTTGTGCTAGTTGGTATGACCTGTCTAATTTCTTTACAGGCAGCATTTGGGTGTTAAAAGGGGACATGCAGGGTTCAAGAAGCCCATCTTGACTGACATTTTAAATTATGGGCTTCAAGCCTATTCTGCCTTCTAGGGGAATGGGATATTGTTTTCTTCTTAGTACTTCCCCAGCCGTTTTTAGCTTTTTGTGTTTTGGAAGGACTTGAGGTCTTCCTTGATTTTCTTCTCTTGACCAGACATCAGGATGGATGTATCTTTCATCCACAGTGGTAAATAGGTTTAGTGAGGTGAGGAATCCCTCCGGGCCAACATGTAAGCTGGTGGCCTACATGTTGGCCCAGAGTTCTAGAACATGATGCCTAGTTCTAGCATTAAGTCCCTTCCTAATAGGTTAATTTCTGCTTCAGGTATTAAAAGAAGCTTTATGTGAGTTGATCAGTTTTTATACTGACTTCTGTTTCTTCTAAGATTTTTACTTTAAATCCTTCTCCCTTTACCGTGAGACGGAAAGTTCAGAGGAGCAAGTGATATCAGATGGAGGGAAACACACAGAGGAACCGGGTGCTCCTGAATCTACTAAAAAGGTTGTGAGTTCATATTTGGGTCCCACCTCTAAGTTTATCAAAGATTTTTGGTGGGACTTGAGATAAAAGAGACAGAGCCTTCTATTGATGGTCATAGGGGATTTTGCTGAGGATGGTGTAAATTTGTAAAGGGTTATAAAAGGTTTTTGCTGCTTTAAAATTTCTGAGTCATCATTTTTGCAAAATAAATAGTGGACGTAGCTGTTGCATTTATTATGAAATCTTTTAAATAAGCTCTTACCAACATGCCAGGGGTTTGGTCTAGGTGCTGCTGCTCACCACACAGAAAGCCAATCACTGACATGAGTTTTGCCAGGAAAGAAGGCAATTGGGTGCTGTAGTCAAGGAGAATGGGAGGTAAAGTTTCAAACCTGTCTCCTTAACAAACTAAAATTGGGGTTTACATACCAGGGAAGGCAGGAAAAAAATAGTAGGAAGAAGTAAGAAAGCAATGGATGAGGGGTCTGGCATGTGATTGGATGTGGTGATCTGATGATTTTCTGTTCCTCACTTGAGGGTCAGTTTCCCGAGGAAGGATCTCAGGTAAGACAAATGTGAGTTTCACTTTTGAGGACCAGGAGGGTCAATTTCTATGTTTATTCCAAAAAGTCATAAATATCAATTCTATGAGGAAATTGAGCGGGTTTCAAAATGAGAGGAAAAGTAAACTTTATATAGAATTTCATTTAGAAAACTAAAGTAGTTAGATTAAATATGTTTGATAAAAGGGGAATAAACTATGGCATCACACTAAAAACAAGCCACATGGCATACTCCTTCAAATAGTCATTTTATGCTTACAGCATTTTAGTACTTTATTGCCAGCTGTAAGTTTGATTTCTTTTTAATGAAAATTGAGAACACTTAACTTGGAGGAAATTCCAGTGAAAGAAATGGCATAACTATAGTCATGTGCCTGATCTATTTTCCCCCAAATGCTTAGAAGGAGTTAAAATCCAAGGAATAGAAAACACATATGATAGATGCAGTAGGCAGATAAGGGCAGATCCCCAGAGAATCTCTGATCCACCCCAAAAGTGTTTACATCAGATGCTTTTGTGCAGATGAGGGAACCTACCCAGGGCCTTGTCTGGTCATGCCCACAATGGACTGGGGACCTGCTTGCACACTGGGAGAATGTGGTAGAGCCCCTGAGAATTCAAAGCTTATGCAGGCAGGAGGAGCCTGGCCTCTTCAGCTTGTGTGTGTGATCGCATGGTATTCAATCTGTGAGGTGGCACTGTTGGCAGGATGCCTCCCCCTGCTTTTATTATTATTATTTTTTAACAGAGTGCTTTCTTTTGATAAATTCTGCTCTCCTCGCTTTTCAACGTGTCCACGTGCCTAATTTTTCCTGGTCGTGTGACAAGAACTTGGATTTTAACTGAACTAAGGAGCAAAAGATCCTGCATCACATACACAGAAAAAGAGGCAGAATTAGATTAAATTTAATTTTTTAATATACTGAAAAAATAAGGCTTTGTGTTTTTCTGTTAAAAATAAAACCCAGAGAAACAGAGAATAGCATGCTAGTTTCCAGGGGATAGATGGAAAGGGAAATGGGAAATTGCTGCTCGAAGCACAGAAAGTTTCATTTATGCAAATGAATAAGTTCTAGAGATTTCCTCTACAACATAGTACCTACTATTAACAATTTAGTAATGTGCACTTTAAAATAATTGAGAGGCTGGACACGGTGGCTCATGCCTATAATCCCAGCACTTTGGGAGGCTGAGGCGGGCGGATCACTTGAGGTCAGGAGTTGGAGACCAGCCTGGCCAACATGGTGAAATACAGTCTTTACTAAAAATACAAAATTTAGCTGGGCATGGTGGTGCACGCCTGTAATCCCAGCTACTCAGGAGGCTGAGGCACAAGTATCACTTAAACCTGGGACGCGGAGGTTGCAGTGAGCCAAGATTGCGCCACTGCACTCCAGCCTGGGCAACAGAGCGCGACTCCGTCTCGGAAAAAAAAAAAATTAAGAGACTATATCTCGTGTTGTGTTCTTATAAAAATAAAAGCAGATAGACAGAAAAGAACATAAGGACATATTTGGAGGTGGTGGGTACGTTTAGTACCTTAGCTGTGGTGATGGCATCTCAGGTATATACGAACTCACCAGAAAGTATACATTAAGTACGTGCAGTATTTTGTGTATCAATTTGACCTCAATAAAACTTTAAAGAATAAAGACGTGTATTAAAAATAAAAACAAGTTATTGTGGTTTTTTCATTTAGAAGTATTACATTAAAATTTTATATTTGGATAGAAAAAGAAATAAATTTGTATTTCACTAAAGAAAAAGAATAGGCACTGTTAACATCCATACACATTTCTTTCAATTCTTAATTTACAGGCACGGATTTGCTTTTATTCTTTTTGTTTTGAATATTTGGCCACATGACTTTTTTTTTTTTTTTTTGTATACATTTAAACGGTACAAGTATGATTTTGTTACATGAATCAGAGTGGAGAAGTCTGAGCTTTTAGTTTATCCATCACCTAAATATTGTACATTATACCCATTAGGTAATTTCTCATTACCCACTCTCCACCAAACACTTCAGGCTATGATACACAAATGAAAAATTCAAAATTCCATGCTTCAAATATTATATTTGTACATATACTGCTTCTTTCCTTCCAATCTACCACATAGTACATATAGCTAAATAACATTCCTTTAAAGTTGTTTTATTCTATGCTATTTTAATTGCAAAAAAATCAAACTATTAAATAACTATTAAAAGAATTACTAACTTTTTATTTAGCTTTTATTGTCAATGCCATGGAAAAGACAAACCGGAAATCCAAGTATGGAGTGAAAGTTCTGTTCAGAAGTTGTCTTTGTGATCAATTTAGGATAAAATACTTTTCTCCTATTTAGATGATGTCTGTTAGCAGAAACTTGCTGTTAGAAACTTTACCTAAAAAACCCAAGTCTTTAAAATCTGGCTCTGCTTTAACGTGCAAAGTATTTCTACATTTTGTTGTACATTTACACAACACTGGTTCTATTGCGCGTCAAGATTGCATCTCTCTGGCAAATTCCCTTAAATGTGGAACTACAGTCTTCAGAATACACCCACTTCCCTGTGCTAACGGCACAGCTCCTGTCATCAGTTGGTCCAATCACCGAAAACCTAAGAGATAAAGGACAGATTTTTGAGCATCTATCTTAAAATGATGGTAGTATCTCTTAAAGTTTTAGCCAGCCAAACTTTTATAGGTAAGTCTTCAGCAGCCAAAGTTTTGCAGAGGTTCTAGAATGGAATTTTCATTGCTAATGCAGCCTCTTCTCCTCTTTCCTATCTTAGTAACAACACCATGAGAGCTCAAGCTAGACTAGAAGACATCTCAGCTTCTTCCTTACCTCTCAAACCTCTCATTATATATACCTGCAAGACCTGAGTATTCTATTTCCAGATTATCTCTTCTATCCATTCACTTGTCCCAGCTTCTCAATTTAGACTCAAGCTACCATTATCTCTCCCTTATCTCTAGCCATAGCCTTTAAACTGACCTCCATAATTTCAATTTTGTTTCCCATCTATTAATTTTCCACATAGCAGCATAAATAATTTTTTATAAGGTAAGTAGATGCCAAAATGAAAGTTTTTAATAGAAATTACACAGTGATAGGTATGCTATAACAATGTGAGTTGGGAGGCAGTTGCCCAGGATTTTATTTAAGTCAAAGTAAAAACTATTAAATGACTCTTAAATTCCTCATATAACTTCCACAGTATAAGGTTAGGACAACGCACAATGTATAAATGGAATGCCTTTGAAGAGAGCTATTTCATAAACTGTTCTTTCTAGTTACTAATGATTATTTAAGAAAATACAGACTGAACACTGTTATAACCACCTGCATGTGTGTCATTTTCCTTAAATGATAACATAAAAGCTTTTAAAAGGGATATTTTACCTTTATAGTAATGCTGGTTTCCAAAAAAGTAAAAAATAATTATAATAAAAATTAGTAAGAAATCTTACTTTTTTTTTTTTCAAAGATTGCATTAAAAGCAGGTCCAGGAAATGGACACTACTTCATCCTTTAGTTTTATGTTCATGAAGGATGATAATAAATGTAGAATAGATGTATCCAGGTGTAGATAAATATCTAAACTGAAATGAACTATCACTCCATGGTCTTTGCTCCAAACTTAACCACATCTCAAGTGTTTTGGTAGTATGACTAGTAACCGAAAGCACAGAAGAAAATAAATGTGAACTTCAGAATTTTAAAGCACTCTTACATGCAATACCTCATGTTGTTCATGTAAGAACAATGTGAAGAAAGTATCATCGATCTTTTTATACAGATAAAGAAGCAGGTATCAGGCTGGGAGTGGTGGCTCACACCTGTAATCTCAGCACTTTGGGAGGCTGAGGTGGGTGATAGTTTGAGCTCAGGAGTCAGGGACAAGCCTGGGCAACATGGCAAAACTCTGTCTCTACAAAGCATACAAAAAATCAGCCAGGTGTGATGGCACCACACCTGTAGTTCTAGCTAGTCTGAGGCTGAAGTGAGAGAGCTGCTTGAGCCTGGAAGGTCAAATCTGCAGTGAGCCATGATCATGCCACTGCACTCCAGCTTGAGCCACAGAGCAAGGCTCTGCTGAAGAAAAGAAAGAAAGAAAGAAAGAAAGGGAGAAAGGGAGAAGGGGAAAAAGGAAGGAAGGAAGGAAGGAAGAAAAGGAAGGGAGAGAGAAAGAGAGGGAGGGAGGGAGGGACAGAGGGAAACAGATATCAACAAGTTTAGTTGAATTTCTGAAGGGCAAAATTTTTAAAATCATGTTTTCTGATTTCAACTCCAGACCTTTCTACATATTCCAGCTTTTATTTATAGGTGAATTTTGTCTTTGCTTTTACCACATGAAAAGTATTTGCATAAAATTATTTTCAAATGAGATTTAAATCAGATTAGAAATTTAAAAATTATTACGAATTTTGGACAATTAAAATGCCAGGTGACAAAATGAATACTTTCCATCCCATTTTTCAAAATTAGTGAATGTTAAAGAAGAGAGGAAGCAAAGAAAAAAAAGGGAGGGGGAGGAAGGAAAGAAAGAAAAGAGAGAGCTAGAAAGGAAAAAGGAGAAAAAAAATTAAAGATAAGGGAAAACAGAGAAAGAAGGAAAAAAAAGAATAGAAAGTGAGGAAGCTTGATATAAAAATAATTCTATAAATAAACATTATCACTCCTCTCTTACAAATAACTACTCACAATTCTGGAACTAAAAAGTGTTCATCTATCCACATCCATAGGTTTCCTCGGAATGTAACATATAGTCCAATCCAACCAAAATGTCCAGGTTTTAAACTGTTCTGTATGAACTCCTGCAGAGGAAATGGTGTGTTTATTCATTCATTTGCTTAAACAAATTTTGATGCCTTCTATAGTGTGAGTCTCTGTGCCGGCATTAATAAAATATATTTTTTCATATATATTAGCATTTTTTCATGAACAATAGTAACTGCATTATGGCTAACACATGTTCAAAAGCAAGGACAATAAACCTCCCATGCTTCTTAGGCAGTGAACTTGCACCTAGCCATTTTTCCTTGTGCAGTTAGATCCTGTTTTTGATTTCTCACCAGCTCATCCAAATTTTGAATCACCAGTAAATTTGCCTGTAGCTCTGTACAATCATGTTGACTCTCTTTCCACGTTTTAAAAGAAGTTGAAAACCAGTAACACTTCCCTTGGTTCAACAGCCAGTCATTTGGGCACAAATAATTGTGCCCTAAAGGAAAATATAGGGGAAAATTAATTAAACTTTAGAGCCAACAGGGAAGATATAAGATATAAATATTATCAAATGTAACTACTTGGAAAATAGATTTTTCCAGCTCATTTTTTGTCATTGAAAAGCAGTTATGTAAAATGAGAATAACTTGCTGACCTGTATATTTCCAGGAGTCAGGCAGGGTTTTGGATGATGGAGTAGGGGAGAACAAAGCTTGTGAATTCCAATCCCCATAATCAAAGGAAGCAAATTATAACATTTTTGACAGTTAATTATAAACTGAAAAAGTAAAAGCTTATTATTTAATTTCCTCCACTATCTGGTTCTAATTCCTTTGACATTTCAATATTGTCTTTACATCCTGCACTTCATGTCTGTGAGATTACTTACTGTTACTGATGCATTGGGTACTTATTCTCCTGTGCTTTTCATTCATACTGTTACCTTAGTCTTGAATAGCCTCCTCTTCCTTCTTTATCTGCTAACTTTTTCCTTAATGTACAATTGTATGTCCACCTCAGAAAGGAAGCCTTGAACCAGTCAGTTTCTGCTATCTATAAGACTCAACACATAAGTATCATAGTTGATACCTTTGCTAAAGCAAAGGACAAATCGTTTATGTCCTGGTCATTTGTAAACATCTCTGTATCTTCCACCTGATTGGAAGGTTTGTGAGGTGGGAAGGTCATATTCATCTTTGACTGTCTTATCATTTAGTACTTTGTATGTAATAAATGCTTATTGTTGAATGTTGACTGGTTGGATTAAATATTTCTAAGTTAAAGCGTGTCATATTTTCACTGTTAATTTTTTAGTCTGTCAACTATGACCCTAAAATTTTATTTAAAAATTATCTTTAGAAATTAAACTATATGTCCAGCTAAGATTAAAAAAGTAACTGAGCAAGTATAACTTGAAAAAGGTTATTATGACCTAAATTTAGATTTATGAAATATCATATATATTCTTAACTCATTAATACATGCTGTCATCTTGCTATCTAATATAATCCTAGTGTGGGCATGGGATAGACCTATGTTTGATTAATCTACATGAAATATTCTATGATATAGTTATTATAATATCCTCATTTGAAAGTTAAAAAAATTATGTTTAATTTGCCTAAATTCATGTGAACAGTTGGCTGAAATCTCTTGATTCAAACACAGGTCTACCCCAAACCTACACTCTTCCCACTACAGCCTACAGCCATTACATGTTACACCTATCAGCGGACGCTCAATAAATACTTGGCAAGTTAGGTAAGGCAGGAAATCCACTATCATCCTGTTGTTGACTCACTAAAACCCTATTTTTTTCCTCCTAGAAATCACTACAACTGTCCTTCCTTTCAACCATTTGATATGCAGCCGTGGCACTGAGGAAGAGGATGTCCTTTTCAGTCTCATACCTTTCTCCACCAGCGCTGTTGGCTTACTGTGTAACATGGGTGAATGCAGGAAGAGGGAAGTCAAAACTAAATTTACCCCTAAGAGTAGCACACAACAAACAAAAAGAGTATTACCTGATAGACTGCTGATATTTACATTCTGGGAGAAATCCATATTTTTATCTGTACTCAGTGCAAAGAAAAGATATGAGAAACATTAAAAAATTAATAGCAATCTGGGTACCTGAGAAAAAGTACCAGCAGTAAATAAAGGCATACTAATAAAAATTGTGAGTTTCTCTTCTCCTATGCATCCACTCCTCTTCTTCCCCAGATTTAACTACGTTTCACCATATCTGCTTTTACTCATTTAAGTGCAAATCACAACTCTATTTTTTTATTTTTATTATTTTTTATTATTATTTATTTATTTATTTTGAGACAGTGTCTCGTGCAGTCTCGACTCACTGCAAGCTCTGCCTCTCAGGTTCACGCCATTCTCCTGCCTCAGCCTCCCAAGTAGCTGGGACTACAGGCCACCACGTCCAGCTAATTTTTTGTATTTTTAGTAGAGACAGGGTTTCACCATATTAGCCAGGATGGTCTCAATCTCCTGACCTCGTGATCCGCCTGCCTTGGCCTCCCAAAGTGCTGGGATTACAGGCGTTAGCCACTGCGTTCGGCCTACAATTCTAAATATTATGTACAATCTTAGACTTCATATATGATGTTACATTTTTGTATATTATTTTATTTTTTTCACTGGACTTTTTAATTGATGCTCTTTTTTCTTTTTTTTATTTTTATTACTTTTCTTAACTTTTTAAAATTTTATATATATACAGAATCTGGCTTTGTCACCTCAGTTGAAGTGCAGTGGGCCATCACGGCTCACTGCAACATCTGGCTCCTGAGCTCAAGCTACCCTCTTGCCTCAGTTTCCCAAGTAGCTGAGAGTACAGGCGCCCACCTCCACACCCAGCTAATTTTTGTACATTTTTTTATTAGGGACGGGGTTTTGCTGTGTTGCCCAAACTGGTCTGTGGAACTCCTGGGCTCAAGCGCTCCGCCTGCCTCGCCTCCGAAAGTGCTGGGATTACAGGCATGAGCTCCAACACCTAGTCTTGATCTTACTTTCCTTTGTTGCAGACCAAAAAAAAAAAATCTTTTGACCATATCATCAAGTTCCTTCAGCTTCCTAGTTGCATCGTTTAGAGTGTGTTTTCATGTAGACAGAATTAATTGCTAGCTAGGAAAACAGAACAGTTGTTAATTTGAAAAGTCTTTTATTATATTCTGGGGCTAGCTTGATTCTATCTTAAGTTAGCCACCCACCTCCCACATTCTTTTTTGCTGTTGTTATTCCAAAAGAATGAATGGAAAAAATATTTACTTGATTACTCTTGTTTTAAATTTAAGTTAAAATCAAGATTGCTCGTACCTTTGAAGGCATTGCTCCAGTAGAGTCTTTTTAGGTGCATTTAAAAATCTGATGCTAATTTGCTTTGGGGGGAAAACTATTTATGTAAACCCTTTAGGATTATATTTTTACTCATGGTGTTCTGAAATTATCTATCTATCTAATCTATCATCTCTTTCTATGTATTATCTATTTTTGTATTCTGTTCTGAACTTAGTGGGTTCTTGTAAGCTGAAAACTCATACTTTTTGGTTTTGCTTTTACTCTTGAAAAATGGTTTATATTACTTTTTTCATCATTTTATATGTGCTTTTTTTCACCTATTTTCTTCTTCTGGAAACTTGTTAAAAGAGCTATTGACCTTCCTGGATAAACAGGTATTTTTTGATTTTTTTTTTTGTCTCAGATATCCTCTTATATTTATTTATTTTTTTCTGACATTTTTCTTTATGCTCTGGGATATTTGGTTAGCTATCATGACTTTTCAGAAGACAGGGCACAAGAAACAGCAAGCTATGTGGTAGACCTATACATTACTCCCCTCTCTCACTCCAAAACCAAAACAAGGGGGTATACACCTTATTGCACGGACCACCAGTCCATAAATCAGGAGCTCTACCTAGCTCTATCTATATATCTCACTGTTTTAGAGAGTTCTTTTTTTTTTTTGCATGCTATAGGGGCAAAATCCACTGTGTAAATAGACCGACAGATTGACAAGACACCAATCGAAAAGAGCCTGGCTTAGAAAGTCTTCCACTTAGTTACTTTGCTTCATTTTTTTGGCTTTCAAAAGTTATTTTATTTTTAATTTAATGGGTAATAAGCATTGTATGTACTAAAGAATTACCTTGTTTTAGACCTCCATTTACCCTCTGACTCTCCTCTCTGAAGTGGAGCCCTGCCTTAGCTTAGCCGTGATGAACAGCTTTCATCTACATAGAAGCTGTCTTTTACACTTTCTTTGAACTAAGTTTCTCCTTAATGATTTATCCAATAGCATTATACTATCCACTTTTCATTTGTTTTTAAATTTTCTCCCCTTTCCATTCTATGTGCTTTGATTAATTTACTCTATTTTGTTATCTTTTCTTGTTCTATGGATAGATTCTTGGAAGAGAGGAGATATAAATATTTATGGTCAATACTCCATTTTGACTGGAAGCCATGAAGAATATTTTAAACTGGTCAAAATCCAAGGACAAATTTTATAGAAACACACATATTGTAATTGTTATTAATTTATTAGAATAAAAATATGGCTAGAAAAAAATATTTTTCCTACTAGTAATTCATCAACATATCAAATTTTATTGATTTCTTCTCAATAGCATTTTTCTTTAAAAGAATAATTATTGCATCATTTATGTCATTTTACCATTTATATTTTATTGAAGAGAAAACTGATTTACAAGAGAGCAGACTGGCCTGTAAAAATCATACTCAGTGTCTAACAAGAAATTATCTACTCCCGAATTTTAGGAACATTTTTAAAGCCGTAGTAATTACTACAGTGGATTCAACTTCTTAGAATTACTGGTTAACAGAAGGCAATACATACTTAGATAGATTCATAATAACTAAAAATAGTCGTTTAACATTGAATGTTAGATAAGTGGACTTTTTCGGGTGATTAGTAATTGATTTCAGTATAGCACTGAACACATTTGAGGTATATGATTGATATTTAGAGAAAAAAATACATTAAGTAGAATACCTATTTGGTCTGAGAAAAGTCTGACATTTTCCGTTATTGTATTGGGAAAAACACAAAATCGCCCAATTGCCCAATACAAAAATAGATCCTTTATTAAGAAGTAAAGGATCTTCTACGCTACAGAAGTTGCTTTAGGACTCACCTATTTTTAGAAATCTCATCTCAAAAGCCCCCAAAATCTATTTCCTGTCATGTTATATGTAAAACACTACTCATTTTAGCTCACAGCCTTAAAAGCAAGACAGAAAAATCAAAGAAACTATGAATTTCTTTGGTTCAAATAGAGTAGCTACAGTATACACATATACCACTTCAGGAAGAAAAAAGTCTGGAGGTCTAAAATGGTTTTCAGAGGAGTCTTAAAAATATATATATACTTAAATAATGATCTCACAAAGTGATACCAATGAGCACATACTCTTTAGTAAAAATACATTCCTTTTTTATTATAAGATAATAAAGTCAACCTCTATTGGGGGTTCTTTATAAGAAAAGATACAGAATAAACACTAAGTTTGCATTTGAGCATTTAATTTTTTAAATTTAACATAATTTTATAATATGACATATACCAGTTTTGGGCTACAATGTATAGCTTATCTTGGCATTCAGAGGAATGAAGTATCAACGTATATCTTCCGAAAATGTTCAAATAAATAAAAATTTACTACTCACGCCAGAACTTCAGGCCAATCACTGTCATAATGAAAATAAGGATCCCAATGCATCCAAATATGAGCAGAAGACAATAATATTGTGGATATAGGGAGAAATCTGAAATGTTGAATTTTACTTCATGAATTTTAGAATTCTTGTGATTATTCACTTTATAAATATTTTTGTTTCATTTTTATTACAGAGACAATTCATGTTCATTTTAGAGATGTCATTAGAATTTATGATTAAATGAAAATTTAAAATAAAAATTCTATAATCCCAAACCAAGGAGATACTACTATTGTTAAATGTTTTGGATTGTACTGACATGGATTTGCTAATTATTTGGTGGTGTTTTTGAGGACCTAAAAATGATGTCTTAAATTCCATATATATTATACATACAAATAAATATGATATATACTATTTATATAAATTATATATGATATAAATATTTGTTATACATATTATTATATAAAATATAAATATATACAATGTAAACATGTATATTTTTCTATACATGTAAATTATATAGAAAGAATAATATATAAAATGTATATATCTATGTCAGGCACAATTGTGTGTTTTACTCAATTTAGTGAGTCACTGTTAAGAAATGAAAGAGGGAAAGAAATATTTATTAAAATTCTATTATGTACCAGTCACTGTACTGGAAATAGCCACATTTTATTTCGCCTTATACCTGTAATATATTATATTTTCTGGGTTTGACGCTTTAGACAGGAATCAGTTTCACCCTAGGTAGTATTAGATCTCCAATTCATGATGCTTATATGGCATCTATGCTATAGTATTTCATCACGTTAGAGTTGGCAAGAACAGTTTCCTTACAGAGGAATAAACAAATAATCTCTAGAGAGTTTAAACAGGGACATGTATGTTATAATCCTCTTTCAATTTTATCTACTTTTTTCCACATATTAGCACTTTTGAATAAATTGGATTTATACACTTTTTTCACAAAATTATAACTGGTTCCTTTTACATGCAGACATCATATAATTAATATCTCAATCTAGAATCATTCTAGCTAACTTACCAGGCTAGTGGCCAAAGAGAAAGCAAAGTAATTTGAGATACTCTGATAATTATTCGCTAGTTTTTATTATTTTATCTATAAACAAGCATTTAATTTCATCACCTTGGTCGTACATTTCACAAATAATTTGCCTTCTACATCATAATAAAAGTGCTGTTTCTCAAATCAAATTTCTGTGTGGATGCCTTACTTCAATAGGTTTTATGGATTTACTGCATCTGATTAGATCTGTAGTATATACTTAGAGAATTTACTATATGTAGTGTACCTTTTGAAATTTACCACTCAATTGTCTGTATTACTGAGTAAGTCCAAATAATTTTCTTTCTTTTTCTGCCCTGTAGATATTTCTGCTGTTCAAGCAAACATGGAAAGACTTCTACTTAACTGAAAATCGTCAAAATACATTTCTGTAATTTTATGAGAAAATACCAGTCACAGGTATATGGATCTGTAGTTAATTGGTAATAAAGAACAAGTGCTCTTTCCATACATGGAAAAAAGTCTCCATGGAGGACAGACTTTAAACTTCTTGCCAAATAAGATTTATAAAAAACCTAACAATAAATCAAAAATTAATATTTTCATGTAAGCCATGATTTACATACTATATCAAGCCAGGTGAACAGAGAGCTGAGTACCTGAAGTGCAGTATGCTGACCTATCTTAGCAATGCTTGGCTAGATGCCATTGGCTTACATGGGGCTATATGAAGAAATTACCCTGCAAAATCTGCTAGTGCTACTATTGCAAGAACACTAAATGTATTATTTTATGTGCTTCATGAGAACTCAGGAAAATACTTTTTCTGATTTAGGACCAAGATTATTTATATCTATCTTAAGCAATAGGTGTAACTTTATCTTATACACAAGGTGAATTGAATAACTACCCTTAGGTCAGTAATAACAAGGAAGCTTGGAAGCAAATGTACGGCAAGCACAAACATGCCTACAGGAATTTTTCTGGCCCAATTTATTTTCCCAGCCCTATCCTTCTTTCTTTCATAATTTAAATGGATATTATCTTATATTTTATGTATCAATACTCAGATTTTAAGTCTCTGTACACATTTGTATATTAAAAAGTAGTTTATAGATTAAAAAGCAGTAAATTTAATTTAACAGTCACGTAAAAGCATCATTGGGTAGATTTTTCTTATTATAAATCAAAGTATTGAGATTTAAGAAGGCTAAAAGTTTCTGCCCAGAGCCATACATTTAGTCTGCGGGCTTTAGGGTCTGATTAACTTTTTTTTTTTTTTTTAATGGAGTCTTGTTCTGTCACTCAGGCTGGAGTGCAGTGGCATGATCTCAGCTGACTGCAACCTCCGCCTCCCGGGTTCGAGTGATTCTCCTGCCTAAGCCTCCCAAGTAGTTGGGATTACAGGCACACGCCGACATACCCAGCTAATTTTTTTTTGTATTTTTAGTAGAGACAGGGTTTCATGGTGTTGGCCAGGCTGGTCTCGAATTCCTGACCTCAGGTGACCCACCCACCTCTGCCTCCCAAAATTCTGGGATTACAGGCATGAGCCACCATGCCTGGCCTGCCTCAGTCAATTTAAAACCAAGGGTACTAGTTTTTGCTGCATGGAAGTAAGTTACTATGGAAAAAGTAAACATTTGCTTCATGATATTGAAACACAAAAAAGATCCTGAGTCTTCAGATAATGAGAAAAGTGTCACTTTTGGGGGGCTGAAGGGAAAGTTTGCATTCACTAGATATAAAATGAGAAAGTACACGAGAACGTTCAATATATATGGCAGAACTGCCACTGTGACTGGTAATTCTCAATTTCTGGCCTATGTCATCTTAACTTAGGTCTTGGCTATTTCAACATGATTCTTTTCAAAATTCCTGAATAAACAAATAAAGCCAACCACAGAGCAGCCTTAAGGAGCAAGGATTCCCGTTTTTTTCTTTTTTCCTCTCTTCTCGCATTCCTGGTGGATTGTTCTACCAATCCTATAGAGATGTTATGAAGATTAAAAATATTATATATGTATAAGCATATATAAGCATATATATATATATATATGCTTTTTAAGCTGTAAAACACTACAGGATCACTGGTACTCCCACAACCACCACTAGATCTTACCTTCCAACTATAATAGGCAACTTCACTAAACATGTTTTCATAGATATCATACCAACATTGGTGTTTCCATAAACTTTAAGTTTTGTAGGAGGAAGTTTCTATAAAAACATGATTTTTCAGCCTTTTCTTCGAAACTTATGTTCTTATGCTACAACACACAGGATTACACATCGTCATATTAGCATTTCTCTTACCTCATGACTCTGAAAATGCAGCCTTTTTATTGTTGATGCTTTCATGAATCTAAATAATCTAACAGACAATTTATGATCATTTTTATATTCCTTATTATTATCAATTTTAAGATGTTAAAAATATTCTAAGATAATTCTCTTGCTAGAAGAATAATGAAATTTTAAACTAAATGCGGTGATGGGGAGTAATATTCCTACCTTTAGATTTCTGCTTTGATTTACGATTCTTGAAATTCAACATCATATACCCATCTTCATTCTCCATCTCTTCAAATGTTTCATGTGTTATTATCCAGAAAATAGTACAAAGAAAATGGAAACTAATCTCAACCTTGGATAGGTCTCTTAGGCACAAAGTACCAAAAGAAAACTAAAGGGAAGGCCAAAAATAGTCAAAATTTATTCAGACACAGATGTCTAAAACCACACAGGATGTGTTGGTAAATGAAAATGGATATAAGCTTGTTAATATCTGGCTACAATTCTGTGAATTTCAAGGTAAAAGTAGCTCATGTGTTCTACTGTTTTCAACAAATGGACTTTGTTCCTGCCAGTTATGTACGGTGTATTAGAAACATAATAGAGAACAAGATAGACCTACTTCTTTTCTTCGTGTCTTTTATAATAAAGTAAGAGAAAAAATAAAATAAAACAAAAAATCTCTAAATAAACAAAACAAAAGTCTAGGTAACTGAAAATTCAAATTAAAAAAGTTAAAATAGCCATTTTGCTATTTGGGACATAGATTAAAAAGTAGTAAATTTAATTTAACAGTCACGTAAAAGCATCATTAGGTAGATTTTTCTTATTATAAATCAAAGTATTGAGATTTAAGAAGGCTAAAAGTTTCTGCCCAGAGCCATACATTTAGTCTGTGGGCTTTAGGGTCTGACTAATTTTTGACTAGCAGGGTCCAAATAACAATGGTTAGATGGGACAAAATAGGAAAATAGAAGATCAGCAAGTCTCAAGTCAGTGACAATAGGAATCACTTGGAAAGAATTTCACTTTTTAAACTTTTTTTTTTGTTTGTTTGTTTTTCAGAAAATGCCTGACAGATTTTCCTTCAGTAGGTGTGGCTGTTTATTTTCTGTCAACTTGGCTGGGTCACAGAGAGTCCAGATACTTGATCAAACATCACTCTGCTTAATTTTGTGAGGGTGTTTTTGGACGGGATTCATATTTAAATCAGCGACCTTTGAGTAAGACAGATTTGCCTCCTCTGTAATGTGATGGGGCCTTATTGAGTCAGTTGGAGCCTTGAATAGAACAAAAAGACTTATCTTCCCTGAGTGAGAAAGAATTCTCCAGCAATGGCCTTCAGACTTTATCTGCGACACTGGCTCCTCCTGATTCTACAGACAGTGGACTCTGCACTTGAATTGAGCCTTCCTAGGTACCCAATCTGTCCATGCCCACTTGCAGAATTTTGACTTACCAGCCTCCATAATCACATTCCTTATTTTATATATATTTTACTTAACACACACACACACACACTCACACACACACACACACTAATGGTTCTGTTTCTGCTACATGGCCACTCAATAGCAATCCATTCATTAAACACCAGAGTATCCGGGGAAAGAGGCTGTTTCCCACGGCACGTGTTGCGTTCACCTGATTATTGAGGCTCCTCCTCAACACTGGACATCACTTGTGAGTATTTACGTGGGAATGCATATTTACACACTCCATGTCCATTCTGCGTGATTTCTACATGTACCTCTTAGCTTCTCGTTAGTTTTTCTATTTTGTTCTTTTTGAGTTTCTGACAAGCTATCTTACCTATTAGTTTCTGATGAGACAATTTAGATGTATTTCTCTGAGTGCTTATCCCTCCTGTCAGGTGCACAACCAGACATATCATCCAAACTTCTGTTCAGTGGGAACACTTACCTTCATTTCTGTCTTTCACAGTCTTCTCCCGAATGGGACTGTAGTGTGGCATCTATTCCAGCTGCTGTATTTTACGTATCCACTGATGAACCTATTTTTTTCAACTACTTCAGTGTAAGATCGTACAGAACCCTCTTTTCCATCCCCAACCTGGGCCATAGGTGTGGTTGAGGTGGAGATGGCAAAGGAATGCGAACATGTGCCATTGGAGTCTAAGCCATCTGCTCATGCAGTTTACTGTGCTTCTTTAGGAATTGTTCAAGCCTTGCCTCCAAAATGCCCCAATTATGTTTGTGATAAAATGCTTCTGTGCATTTCTAAATCTAGGGTTCATTGGGTCAAAGTGGTCAAGTTGGATCAAGTTCACGGTGGTGAACATATATCTTATAAAAATATGTAGTATGTTTACTGCTTACTTTTCACCAGGAACAGTTAGCATGATAGCATCAATGTAAATGAATCTATTGTGTGCAACCAGTTCTGAGGTATAACATGTTGGGAGCTTTATCAAGATGATTTAGTTCCCTCTGGGCCATCTTATAACAGAGATCAGGAGAGCTGACACACACCTGGGCAAGGCAACAAAGAAATACTTGTTATTTCTGTTTGTAAATACAAGCCAGAAACCATCACAGGTTCTCAGCTTTTTCCCAGTATATAGTCATTCAAGAAAATGGCTGAAGTTTCCTCCGGTTTAGGTGTTGGGGAATAAATCTCATAATTACACCTGTGGCCACGTTACAATGTCCTTCACCAAGAGACCCAGCCTACCTCCTCCCCAGTTGAGTGGTTCCTGGTCTGGGAAGAGCTTTGCCTACTAACTACATTGAAGTCTGGGGATTGGGTGAGACACAATGAATCTCCTCTCGGAAAATATGGGCTGTTTCTGGCCAACATACATGGAATTTTCCTTAGCATATCAAGGAGCTCCTTAGTGAAATATCCTTTCTTTTTTCTTTTCTTTTCTTCTCTTTTTTCATTTCCCAAAACTTCAAAATCAGCTAATCATTGTCACAGATTTCTGTGGATGAAAACTCTGATTACTAATCATTCCCTTTGGCTTATTGTGGCAACTGCAACCCCTTGACCTCTAGAATCAAATTATTGCCATTGATATTAGAAAGCCTGATTCCGCTGTAGCATCTGCCAATACATCTGTAGTCAACAGAGAACAGTTGCCACAGCAGGTTGTCACCAGGTTCCTTCACAAAAGCATTCTCCATCCCCCCATCCTCCCAAAAAATCAGTTCACAAAACTGACCTTGAAGAGAGGAAATCAAAGTCTAGAGGAGGCTGTAGAAAGGAGAGAGAAGGTGGGCAACGACTGGCCAGCCTCCTCACTATATAAAAGGTGGCAACCTTAAAACTGTTCCCCCACCCCCATCCAGGGCTCCAGACCCCTCAGTTCTACCCAAGAGCCATCAAGTAGCTTCAGAAACTTCTCTTTCCTTTACCTTCTCTGTCTGGGCTAATTCTCTCAGTATAGGTCTAACAGATTTGGTGGGATCGAATGCTGAAATATTTTAGAGTATCAAAACTTGAAGATGTATAAAATTTGTATCTGAATGCTTTTCCCAAACTATAGATTTATTCAGTGTTTTCTATATAATTAGTAATTAAGTTCTGTCAGTTTAACCCTCTGCATATTTCCCTAGTAAATTCATTACTTCCCATTTTAAAGGACACCATCTTGGCTCAACCTCCGCATAGGCTGATGTTATTCCTTCATGGCATTTAGTCTCCTTTTGCCCTCTCCCCTTGGCCCGTGAACAAAAAAAGAGTATCTTTAAGGGTTGAGATACTCAATAAATGTGATGCTCCACAAATCCAAAATAGATATAGAAAATGTGCATCTTTTACAAAATTCATATCCTCATGTATGAATTAGTTAATAAAAGGAAGTCTTCATTCTCTCCAGAAACGTTACAACTTTACACTTCTGAAATTTAGAATTTCCCACACCCATACCAGATTATCATTTCAATCTTAAGTGGGCATTTCCTTTTTTTTTTTTTTTTTTTTTGAGACAGGGTCTGTTCTGTTACCCAGGCCGGATATAGAGGTGTGATCATAACTCACTGTAACCTCAAACTCCTGAGTTCAAGTGATTATAGACACATTGTTAATCTGATAGGCTGTTGCATTGTTTCACTTTAGATTTCTTGGATTTTCATTGTGTTTAGACAACTTTGGATACACTGACTATACATGCCTTGTCATGGGTTAACTATTTGTCCCTTTGTTCATTTTCTGTTACTAACATATTTATGACTATTCCTCCATATATGTTCATTCATGTATTGATTCATTCTATAAGACTGTTTGAATATATGTTATGCTATGGCCACAGTTCTAACCACTGAGAATACATCATCGAGTAAAACAGATAAACAACTCTGAGTTCATGGCTTCATGGAGCTTTCATTGCAGTGGCAGAGACAGAGACACATGTTACCCACTGCCCAGGAATTCGTATATGTTTTAAATGTGGGTTACTTTTATTGTCTGATGAAGCTCACTTAATGGTGCTGTAGTGTAACCATCGTCCAGTCAGAGCTTTCATCTACATCCAAAACAGACCTTTCTAAGAACCAACTAAACTTTATTCCTCGTTTATCAGCAGGTACTAGGAAATATCTTAAACAGCCATAGACATGAGCCGAGGAGAGGTGCCAGTGAAACAGCTGGATAGTATCATTAGTATCATTTCTGAAGCTCTCTGGTTGGCATAGGGGTCTTCAGCCTGCCTTTTCACTGAGAATCTGCCTGTGCTGATTCTGGATATACCAATCTCATCTTATAATGAATTGCTGCTGGGAGTGCCTGAACTCATATTTGGTGAGTCTTACAGGTTTCTTTTTCTTTTCTTTTTCTTTTTTTTTTCTTGAGATGGAGTCTTGCTCTTTATATTTGGTGAGTCTTGCAGGTTTCTTTTTCTTTTCTTTTCTTTTCTTTTTCTTTTTTCTTTTCTTTTCTTTCTTTTTTTTTTTTTCTTGAGATGGAGTCTTGCTCTGTCACCCAGGCTGGAGTGCCATGGTGGGATCCTGGCTCACTGCAACCTCTGCCTCCCAGGTTCAAGTGATTCTCTGCCTCAGCCTCCTGAGTAGCTGGGACTACATGTACCCGCTACCACGCCCGGCTATTCTTTGTATTTTTAGTAGAGATGGGGTTTCACCATGTTGGCCAGGCTGGCCTTGAACTCCTGACCTCAAGTGATCCGTGCGCCTTGGCTTCCCAGAGTGCTGGGATTACAGGCATGAGCCACCACGCCAGGCTGGGTTTCATTTTATTAATGGCAGTTCAGAACATATGGAGGCCTGATGACTCACATCCGAGTAATCTATTTCTGCAAGGTCCAGGAGCATTCCAGGAGCTATTTCACAAAAGCTCTGTAAATGCTTAGCTATAATTGACCTGGTATTGCTCTAGGACTCAAAGGATCAGTAGAAATCATGTTTCACCTG